CACTGGAGCAAACTGGGAGGAGAAAGGGAGTTGTGTCAGGATGGAGAAGTGAGGGGTGTTGGGGGGGGGAGATCGGGGAGGGGTCTGGTTCAGTTAGGCAGCTCCCCCTTCCTCCTATCGCCCAGGTCTGGACAGCCCTTTGTCCGGAATGACGGAGGGGGATGGACTAGAGGACCTCCAAGGCCCCTTCCCCTCTGTGTCGCCTGAGTGTGCCGGGAGTTCTCGGGGGCTCTGGAGAGCCGGGCAGTAGAGGGCTTGGGGGTCTCCCCACATCTTGAAGGCTGAGCTGCCTTTGGCCTCCTCCAAAACTCTTTTTTCTGCTCCTTCCTCTCAGAAACTCGGAGGAGGAGGAGGAGGAGGAGGGGGAGGCCCCTTTGCTGAGCCAGAGGGGCTCCCAGGACAGGGAGCAGGGGGTGAGCAGGGTCTGCAGAGCCCACTGCCCCAAAGGCTGGTCCTGGCTTCAGTCCAGGGCCTCTGTGGAGGAGGCGGAGGAGGAGGGTCCTGCAAAAACTGGCTGTTCAGGGAGGGCAACTGCAGGGGGGGGGGTCAAGGAGATCCTGAGGGTAGCCAGGATCAGGCAGTCGGATCCCTGCTCTGTTCTCAGAGGCAGAAACACACACACACACACACACACACACACCATATAGACACATATCTGCTTCTCAGCTGAAGAAGAAGTGTCTTTCTCTCTTGTTGGTCTCTCCCAGAGTTTCTGCTACACACAGCACAGAGGCAGCCGCCTGGCCTCCATCCAGAGCAGTGAAGAAGAAGCTTTTGTGGGCAAGCTGGCCTCCCAAACTTTGCAATACACTTCTATGTGGATCGGACTGAAAAATCCATGGAAAGTAGGTCCTCTCTAATGCTAATCTTCATTGGCTTCCCTTTACTGTTTCTCAGGAGGTTTTTTTGGGAGGGGGTATCGATTTTATTAGTTTTTATAGGGTTAGGGGTTAGGGTTAGGGTTGGGGTTGGGGTTTTTCCAAATAACATTTTCAATATTTAGCAAACAGCATAATGTCTGGGTACATGTATTTAACTAACAATAATAGGCATAGTTAATTATCATAAAGAATATGTTAATTAATGCTAATATGTATTCAAAATCACATACCACCTTCCTTTCTCTCTGACTCGTTTTTCTAGCCATTGACAGAAATTCTAAAATACACTGAGTCTTCTTTCTCTTTAATCTTTAAAGTCAATCTATCCATTTCTGCACAGACTAAAATTTTCTTAATTAATACTTCTTCAGTTGGTAAGTTTTCATTTTTTCCAATGTTGGGCAAATACAATTCTTGCTGCCGTTAATGTGTGTAGTATTAGATATCTGCAATCTTTCTCATAATTAGCTCCTATTATTCCTAACAAAAATAATTCTGGTTTAAAGTCTACTTGTTTTTTAGTCATTTTCTCCAACCATATATGTATTTTAACCCAAAATCTTTTTGTCTTGGGGCATGTCCACCAGATATGATAATAAATACCTGGTCTTTGTTTGCATTTCCAACAGTTTGAAGTATTTTTAAACATTTTTGCTAATCTCACTGGTGTCATATATGCCATCTGTAAAACATTTTATATAAGTTTTCTTTATACAACACTGCTTTAGTTAATTTAATATTTCTTTCCCATAACTTTTGCCAATCTTCTAATTCTATATTATATTCAAAATTCTTTGCCCATATTATCGTTGTTTCTTTTACTTGTTCTTCCTCCATATTTAAGTTTAACAGAAATCCACAGAGTTTCTTAATCAACTTTTCATCTGTTTTTAGCAGTACCTGATCAAATTCTGTCTGTTCTTTATAAAATCCCATTGTTTTAACATCTTTTTCATATCTCGTTTGAATTTGCAGATATGGCCACCATGCTAGTTAAATATTTTGTTCTTGTAAATCTTACCTGTCTTTCAATTGTATTTGGTGTTTTAGCCTCCAGGATAATTTAATTACACAGTTCTTTCAGAATCAGACTTAATACATCTTGTAGTGATTTATAAAACTCTGCAGCTAATCCATCTGGGTCCAGAGTCTTATCCTTTTTTTGCTTTTTTATAGCCTCTATAATCTCCATCATTGATATTTTTCCATTTAATATGTTTCGAATATTATCCGGAATTTTTTGGTAAGTCTGCTTTTTTTAAGCACTGCTGTATTTTTTCTTTTGGAATTTCCTCTGCCTTATAAAGTATCTCATAGTAATCTTTAATAATTTTTTTGATTGTATCATTTTGAAACTGTAATTCACCTTTTGAATCTTGTAACTTGTTTATCATTTTTTTTTCTCTTTTTCTTTTTTCAGTCTATATGCTAACCATCTCCCCAGCTTGTTGGCATTTTCGAAGAAATTCTGTTTAGCCCTTTTAATCTGTTGAGCCATTATTTCCATCTCGGTTAAATTTAATTTATGTTTTATTATCTCCATTTGTTTCTTAAGTATTTTCTTTTGTGGATCTATTTGTAATTCTGATTCTAGCTTTCTGAGTTCTTCCTTCAACTGTAGTTGTTTCTTTTCTTTATTCTTTTTAGCGACATAAGTTATAGCCAACCCTCTGAAATAGGCTTTAGCCGTATCCCACACATTTTGAAGCGATGTTTCTTCTTGTTTATTTTGAAGAAAAGGTCCATTTCCTTTGTCGCTATTTGTTAAGAATTCTTTTTTTTTCAATACAGATTTATTCAAGGACCATCTTAATTTTTTCTTAGTTCCTCTCCAAGTCATCTTTATTGGGTTATGATCTGCCCAAACATTAGTTTCTATCTCAACTTCTTGTATCATTGTTTTAAGTTCCAAAGATGTCTATATCATATCAATTCTAGACCATGATTTATGTCTATCTGAGTAAAATGTATATTGAAATTTCTTTGGATTTTTTTCTCTCCATATATCTTGGATACAAAGTTCTTCTGTCATTTTTAAAAATGCTTTAGGTAATATATTTCCTCCTTTTCTCCCGTTTGGTGCTTCTGTAGTCCAAAATTCCATCGGTTGTTGTATTAAAGTCTCCCTTTGTGTACAAAGATTTTGATAGTTTAAATGTACTATTTTTTTTATATAGTTTTTGATAAAATTGCTCTTGTTTGTCATTTGGTGCGTATATTGCTACCTTCAGTATCTGTTTTTGATCCATCATTATTTCCACCATTAATATTCTCCCCTCTTCATCCGCATAAATTTGTTTGGGATTCATCATTTCTTTAATATATAGAGCTACTCCCCTTTTCTTTGGAAGTGCTAATGCAAAGTAAAGTTTACCAATTTTCAGTTGTTCTGACAATTTATAATGTTGTCTCTTAATGTGTGTTTCTTGAAGACAAATTATATCCATTTTTAATTTTTGTAATCGTGTAAAGATTTTCTCCTTTTTTAAAAAAAAAAAGTTTTTTATTTATGAAACAGTTAAAACAAAGATGGACATAACGTAACATTCCAGTGTATATATGCCTAACAATTTGTTCCTCATCATACATATAATTCTTAATCTCTATATATACATATTTTTCTATACAATACAGTCTCTAATTTGTTTCTCTATATACTAACATACAATTTTATATATCTCTATCTTAACACTAACTTAAAACCCAAACAGTTCTCCTTGATTCACACCAACAATAGAATTTGTCCCAGATTTCAAAGTAATCTGACTCTGTCTTGTCCTTCATTTCCATTGTGAGCCTATCCATATCAGCACACGATAGGATTTTATATAAAATATCTGCTTCTGTTGGAATTTCTTTATTCCTCCAGTTTTGTGCATACGCCAATCTAGCAGCCGTGAGAATATGTAGCATCAAATAAAGTATCCCTTTGTCGTATTTCTGCATAGTTATGCCTAGTAGGAAGAGTTCTGGTTTTAGCTTTACCTCTATCATTAGTATTTCTTCCAGCCATTTTTTAACCTTGTTCCAAAAGTCACGGGCTTTTGAGCACTCCCACCACATGTGGTAATATGTCCCTCTTGCAATTTACATTTCCAGCACGTGGAAGAAATATTTGGACCCATTTTAGCACTCCTTTTTCAATTAATTTCCTGGTTAGAAACTGATATTCTCTTTGGGATTCTTTTATTCTCCTAGGAATTTGTTTGAGGGCTACAATTTCTTTTTCTTTGTATTTCAAAGGTTCGTCTCTTACTTTTCTCAAAATCTCATCTCTTGTAGATCTTTTAAGAAATCTGACATGCACTTCCCTGGGGACTTTATTTCTTCTAGCATAGTTTGAGTTAACTCGATAGATCTGGTCTAATTCTCCTTTCATTTGCTCTTTCCCAGTTCCTAATGCATTTGCCAATAATTCGGTTATCAACCCTAGCAGATCCTCTTCCTTATCTTCCATTATATTTTGAAACCTTAAAAAGTATGAGGCTTTTTCCATCTCTATTCCCTCTGTTGAGTTTTCTAGTTGTTCATTTATTTGGATCAGCTTCTGATTTTCATCTTGTAAAACTTCTAGTTTCTGGTCAACCTCAGTTGATTTATCTTCTATTTTTTGAATTCTTTGTTGATTATCTGTGATCATCTGTTTAAAATTTTCAAATTGAGAATCCATATTGTTAATTTTTTGATTCATTTTATCAAAATCACTTTTAAACTCCTCATGGTTGTTTGATTTGACCGCCATGTGAGTAGCAATTGCCTCTTGAACTGCTTGTAGAGTTGCTTGAGTGTCCTTTTGGAAGGTATCAGTCTTTTCTTGTTGAAGCATTGTAGCAATTGATCTCTGATAGACTGGACTTGTAGAAGCCAAAGAGGGATCAGAAGATCCTTTTTTTTCCAACTTTAGATAAGTTTGGAGCGCTCATCTTTATCTTTAAATCATACATTGTAATCCACCAAGTAAGTCAAAATTTATAATCCAATAAACTCCTAACAAATAGGAGAGGTAAACAATAAAAATAGTAAATAGTGAAAAAGAGCAGAAGGGCAAAAAGAAAAAAGAAAAAAGAAGAAGAAAAAAAATACCAAAATTTGTAATCCAAAGTATTCTTGGTTTCTTGTTATTCACTCTTTCAAAACAGCTTATAAAGATTCCAGGTCAAGCTGTATTTGTAATCCAGGGAAGTCCAATGACTTCAAACACAGTTTTTATTTATAATTATAATCCATCCTGTAAGACAGGGCAATCCAAAAAGTGTCTTTCTTTCCCAGCCACAGGACTTTAAATTCCAAGGACACCAAGATGTTTAAAATATAAGCAATGTCTGGGCATACAGCCAAGTTTTACTCGGATCAGAGCAAACTGCGTATAGTTTGGAATTTCGCTACTAGATGTCATAAGATGTCCATTCCCACCATACTTTGAAAAAGTTTAAGGTTAAAAACCCGGTGGTTTTCAAACAAGAAATAAACAAAAAGGATCTATAAAACCAAAAGTTTTCCAGGAGGGTTTTTTTTTTAAGGATCCTCTGGTGGGAGGCAGAGGTCTCTCTATTCAATGTTCTTGCCTTGGAGAATGGCAGAGAAAACCAAAGCAGAAAAGCTTTACTCCCATCCTCTCTCTCTCTCTCTCCCTCCCTCCCTCCCTCCCTCTCTCTCTCTCCCTCTCCCTCCCTCCCTCCCTCCCTCCCCCCCTCTCTCTCTCTTCCCTCACCCAATCCTTCCTTCCTTCTGAAGGACCGACTGCGGTCTTGAAGGGCCAGATCCTGCCCCGGCCCCCATCTATGCCTCCAGGCCTTCCTCCCTCTGGAGGGCCCCTTGGATGGCCCCTAAACCTGGGGGAGACTCTGCTGGGCCTTCAGCTCAGGGGCTTTAGAGGCCTGGCCTGGGGGGGGGCTGTTCTTTCCTCCCCCCTTTTTTTATTTAACGCAGAAATTCCTCCTTTCTGTGACCGGCAGGATTTTGTCTCCTGGTCTGTTGCATTTTCAGCTCTTGGAAGAAGCTCCGTCATGTACAAAGGAGGGGGGTGGAGATTCCCTGGAGTTGAGATCCTGGGGACAAGAGCGAAGGAGGTCCTCAAAAGAAGTAACCAAAGATACCCAGGAGGCTTTTCTCTTCCCAAGGGTCCCCTGAAGCCCTGGGTTCTGCTTCTGCTCCCCCATCCAGGGAGTGATGGGCTTTGGTGCTCTTTCCCTTCCGGAGACCTAGGAGGGTCGTTTGGAGCGGTCACCACGTTGGGCATGGGGCAAAGTGGCCCCCAAGCTGAGCTGGTGACTCCTGGGACCCCTCCAGGCTTTTTTCTCCTCTTAATAGTAGTAGTAGTAGTAGTAGTAGTAGTAATAGTAGTAGTAGTAGTAGTAGTAGTAGTAGTAGTAGTAGTAGTAGTAGTAGTAGTAGTAGTATAATGTTGGAAGGGACCTTGGAGGTCATCTAGTCCAACCCTCTGCTCAGGCAGGAAACCCTATACCATTTCAGACAAATGGCTCTTCTTAAAAACTTCCAGTGTTGGAGCATCCACCGCTCCTGGAGGCAGGCTGTTCCACTGGTTAATTGTTCTCATTGTCAGGAAATTTCTTCTTAGTTCTAGGTTGCTTTTCTCTTTGCTTAGTTTCCACCCGTTGCTTCTTGTTCTGCCTTCAGGCGCCTTGGAGAATAGCTTGACTCCCTCTTCTTTCTGGCAGCCCCTGAGATATTGGAACGCTGCTATCATGTCCCCCCTCGTCCTTCTCTTCATTAAACTAGATGTCCCCAATTTCAGCAACCGTTCCTTATATGTTTTAGCCTCCAGTCCCCCAATCATCTTTGTTGCTCTTCTCTGCACTCTTTCTAGAGTCTCAACATCTTTTTTACATCGTGGTGACCAAAACTGGATGCCGTATTCCAAGTGTGGCCTTACCAAGGCATTGTAAAGTGGTATTAACACTTCACCTGATCTTCATTCTATCCCTCTGTTAATGCAGCCCAGCACTGTGTTGGCTTTTTTGGCAGCTGCAACACACTGCTGGCTCCTATTTAAGTGATTGTCCACTAGGACTCCGAGATCCCTCTCACAGTTGCTACTATTGTCCAAGATACCCCCTATTGTCTCTGGATCTCCTGACTACCTCTCCAAGCATTCACCAAGTGTAACCCTGCTTAGCTGCTCCAGGTCAACTGGGGTTGATGGAGAGAGAGAGGGAGAAGGAAAGAGAGAGATAGAAAGAGAGAGAGAAAAGGAGGGAGGATACATTTGCTCTGCGCCCTGAAGTTCTGCCAACATTTCTCTCTCTGCCCCTGGGCCCTGCACAGCCAGAGCCCCCTCCTCAATTGGCTCACGGGGCCTCCTTGTCTTTCCAGGAATGCAAGTGGGAGTGGAGTGATGACGCCAGGCTGGACTACAAAGCCTGGACTCGAAGACCCTATTGTACAGTAATGGTAGTCAAGCCAGGTAAGTCCATGTGGTGGTGCACATTGTTTTAGGTCAAGGAGGGTGCACTTCCCTTCATGAGGACCCCGGGGATCCTTCTCGCGACCCCCACCGCTTGGCCACTGGGGACCTTTCTTGACCTCCTGGATCTCTGAGCTGCCTCAGTCCCACACTCTGCACAGACAAGGGAACATGACACAACCAAGGGACAAACCGTTCAGAACGGGACTGGAGCTCTAAATGAAAATTATTAGGGGGCCCTCAGCTCACAATGCAACTAACAAGCTCCATCTTAACCTTGTTCCGAAAGGCCATCATTGTCTCAGGGCATCTGGCTTGTTCTTCTTTCTTTGCTTGCCACTGAAAAGATCTTCTTGGATTCTTGGGCAATCTCTGCAAAAAGTGATCAAAATTTCTCTTTTACTACCCAGATAGGATCTATTGGTTCAATATAGGTTGCGAAAAAACTGCATCTTTCGTCTGCAAGTTCCAGGCATAGTCTGAAGATGCAGCTGTGTGAAGTCTGCAGAAGCAAGGAAGGCCCCCACCCAACCCCAACCCCCACCTGCTCCAATCTCTGCCCTGCCCCCTTCGCTCAATGGATGCTCTCTGTAGCTGGATCTGGTTTTGCTGCTCCTGATGGGCCAGAAGGTCCAATAAATTCTGCCTAGCATGACTGGCTTGTTTCTTTGGGGCACCCAGGAGACGGTTGAGGCCCAAAGCTCCAGACCCCCCAGTCCCCTTCCTGGCAGGGCTCGGCTTTAGGGGGGGGAGGGTGGCTCTGAGGTGGGACCACCCACTGAGGCTCAGATGCTCTCCTCCCGTCCCCCTCACTGGAACCGAAGAGGGTGGAATCTGCTGGGCCTCAGCACCCCTTCCCTGCCCCCACAGCCGATTGGCACCCGTGGGCCCCCCTCTGGGCAAGATCCAGCTAAAGAAGGCATGGAGGTGGGAGTGAGGGCTGGGTCCAGGAAACGGCATCTCGGTTGTCTCTATTTTCTCCATGGAGCTTAATGGGGCCTCAGGATGGGCCCATCAGGGGGGATTTCCTGGCAAACAGTCTCCCCTGGAAACGAAGCCCAGAAATTAGGGGAGCAGCTAGGAAGATTCAGTCATTGGGAAAGGCAGATCTTAAGACTCGGGGAGAGTCCTTGCCTGGCTATCTGGGAATGGTTTCTCCCTGTCGGAGCCAGGAAGCGGACAGGGGCCGGGAGGCCATCAGGGCCACCACCTGCCCGTTACACCCTCCTCCTTTTAAGGAGTCCCTGGTTGGCCCCCTCCTCAACAAAGCCATCCCTCAACAAAGCCATCGCTCCTTTTCAGCGTCTCCCTGAAACAACTAGGCGAGACCCTCCCTCACCAGGGTTTGGGGTATATGCAGCACGCGGAGGATTCTCAATGCTCCATTTCCCCATTGGAGACCCAGGTGATGCTCTGGCCGCCCTCCTGGGGGGCTGGAGGCTGGGGGGGCTGGATGGGGGACAACGGATTTCCAGTTACCCTTTGCGTAACTTTGAGTTGTGCACCAGTCGTGGCCTTTCTCGGATGGGGCATTTCAGATGCAGTTCAAGGGGTGGTGATGACCTTTCAAGGCCTTCACTGCAGGGGTCCAGGCTGCCCGAGGGACCCTCCCACCCCACTGGGCTGGGCCCCTCCCACCGTGCCCCAGAGAGGACCTGCTGTGGGCCCCATCGGGCAGGGAATCCCAGCTGGGGGGTCCAGGAGAAGGGCCTTCTCTGCCGTTGCCCCCCTCCGCAATGAGGTCAGCCCCAACCCTCCTGTCCTCCTATAAGGGCCTAAAGACACGGCTCAGCCGCTGGGCTTGGGACCCCAATGGGGGAGCATCACAATGGGGGGGGGTTAATTAATTAACAACAGATGCCACCTCCCCCCCTCCTCCTCCCCCCTCCCCAACCTTTAATTGCCCCCCTTTATTTTGCTGTGTGTACTATTGTATTTATATCTTTGCACAGTTTTTATTTGTTATGATTGCTAGCTGCCCAGAGCTGCCCTGAAGTAAGATGGGTGACCAAGTCTATAAATAATTAGAATATATAATAATAACCCTCCTGGGGTTAAGATAAGAAGCCTCTCCCCCTGAAGGCGCTGAGCTCTCCGTCTTGGGGGTCTGACAGGGGGGCTTCAGGGAGGATGGTTGGGCTGCTGTGTCTGCTCCCTGCAGAGGGTGGGCCAGCTTCAAACATGGGACGCTTCAAAAAGGGAAGACATAAATTAACAAAATAAGCTGCTTCTAGGAAGGCTTTGAAAGAGAGCCTGGGAAGAGACCCTGCCGAGCCCCTCACAGCAGCGAAACCTCAGCCAGATTCAGACAACAGCTTGATCAGCTCTCAGAAATATCCCTACCTGTTTTTAACACAACCCACAATTCTTGGCTAGTTATTCTGTGCCTTTGTGCAGGGCTTTTGATCAAGCAATTAACTACAAAATAATGATTACAAAATAACAAAACAATGATTACATGATAACACTATAAGTGTCAATATAACATGGTTACTATATATAAAATAAATGCTAATGTCAAACTTAAACATACTAAAATCATAAGCACAATAAAATCCCTTCACCACCTTTATTATTTCTGCAAAGAATTCAAGGAACCCAGCAGAAATCCACCCCCTGCGCCAGATCTGCTTCTCTCTCACCACCACCACCACCCCGACCTCTTGTGGGCGTCCCACAGGTGATCAGCCCCTTTAGGGCTTTCTCCTTTCACTTTTGCTGTGTGCTGGAGGAAATCCTTCACAGAAACACCTCCATTTTTAGGGCCCATGAGAGATAATTCGACTCATTCAGGCTAAGCACAGGAGATCCTCCTCCAACTCAAGTAACAGCATCGGGTTGTCTTCACAGGCCCCAACCTCCGTCGGGGCCACAAACAAAGTTTTACCTCAGAGGAATTTACTACTGGCTCTCCAGGGCACTTCTGGGTGTGGCGTTTTTAGGCTTGCCACATTAGGGTGGGGTCACTCATGAATCTTGACCGACAAGAGAAGACAACACACAGGCTCTCTTCTGGACGAGTGAACCAAGGGCGTATCCTGTGTTCCTCTTTTATTTTGCAACATACATGAGGAAGTGTGCAGGTGTCAATATAATTGGTTACATGTATAGGAAATAAGTACATGCTATCATATAATTGGTTACATACTTGTTGCAGGGCAGAAAACTAAGTATGTTAACATACAGTTGGTTCTACTTTGCTACATAGCGTCCTAGCATATAATTGGCTGATGCTTTCTATAGGATGTGGTTTTCTCTCATGTCCGGAGTTATCCGGACAGGCTCTGTGGCTAACGTTTCTGCGTAGACAGCAGGTGTTCAAGCACAGCAAAGGATGTGGTTATATGATAGGATGTGCACATTCACATATTCAATGCAGCTATGCTAGTTTCTTATACATTGTCAGGTTCTGACAATAAATCTACATTTAATGCAAAGCAAAGTTACTTGACCATTACAGAAAATCCCAACATCTCTTCCTTTCTTTTTCAATGGAAAGGCTGTGGTGGGTGGAGCCGGAGTGTGGCCCAGGCCCCTCCGGGCCCGAGATTCACTGTCACTCACCAACCACTGGACACAAGGTCAAGTCCTCCGACTCAGCCTGCATCGTTGACCTTACCCTGATGTTTGTCTGAGGAGATGTTTGTATGGTTGGCAAAATGAGCTAAAGGACTGAAACATACTCATCCTCTTCACTCATAATGAAAAGGTTTGACACCTCCTCCTGAGGCACGGGTTGGTAGGTCCCCCTACTCTCAAGGTCCCAGAGGGTATTCTGGGATTGCAACAGCATGGTCTGCAATGAATCTATTTTTCCAGTGATAAATGTAGAAAAGCGATTAAACAAACATGGGCCATGTGTGCACATTAATACAAGCAAAATTAATGGTCCTATAAGAGCACTTAGTAGAGTGGTGAGCCAAGGGGAAAGGTTGTGCCAATTTCCAAACCATCCTTGTTGATCCTCCCTTTCCTTTTTCCGTTTGTTTAGGCCCTCCCTTAGTTTGGTCATGGAGTCCCGCACTATCCCAGAGTGGTCTGCATAAAAGCAGCATTCCTCCCTTAAAGCTACACATAACCCCCCTTCCTTTAAAAAAAGTAAATCTAGTCCTCTTCTGTTTTGCAAAACTACTTCTGACAGGGAGGTTAAAGATTGTTGTAAGTGAGAGATGGAAGTTTCTATTCTCTCTAAGTCTTCATCGATGGCTGCCCTAAGATTGTGGTATTGAGTATACTGATGTGTGATAGAAGCTATTCCAGTTCCTGCACCAGTTAGGCCAAGTCCAACCAAAAGAGCCACTGTAAGAGTGGAGATGGGCTCTCGCTTGTGTCTTATGAGATGTGATCCTGAATAGGTTTTGTAAACTTCTTCATCTGTGTGAATGTATATGCGTGGTATGACCTGAACAAGGATGCAAAAACCTTCAGTGCCTATCACATGGCCATGGGCACAGGCTGTAAGGCCTGTGGAGCAGGCCCACCATCCTTCACTAGGTGGTATGTAAAAGAGTGTTGTGTCAATCTCTCTATGTGTTGTGTTGCAATATTGTTCATGCTGTTTGGGTACCTGTCCAATGCAGGTTCCCTTACCTGACATTGACTGCAGTGTTTGTGAGCCATGTTTCCATCTGCATGTCTTGTCATCTGAGGAGGTGTTGTATGGAGAAATAAGCCCTACAGCCTCATAATATGGGGGTTGAACATTGTAGCAAAACCAGCAGGCTGTAGTAAGGTCAGGATGGGTGCTATTAACCAAGTTATAGGTGGCAGTGACAATATCCCAAAGAGGGTTCTCAGGGCGGCTCGGGTTACATGGTGACCATCCTCCCCATTGGTTGTGGTCACATCCTAGGTCCTCACCAGTCCGTTTGAGCGTAATGAAATCATCTTTGATGGGAGGGTCCCATGTTATTTGTCCTGTGGAGACACAGCTCCAGTCTGCACAGAAATAGTGGTCTGTCCCCCCGCATTTTTTCCGGTATTTTGTTTCCTTCTTATGGCCAGGGCAGACATAAATGGGCTGTCACCTGGTCCATTCGTGGTTCTGCATACCCGGCTTGTTGGGGCTAGTGGTGGTGTCTATCATCACGCCAAAGTCAAAATACAAATCAGGAAACCAGGATCCCGGCACTGCTATGGATGAGGTGGAGTTCAGGATGTCTCCGTGTGCATCCAACACTACCCATGTTAAGTTTTTGGGCCGGTGAGGATTGCGGGGGGCGGGAAAGGTGTCAGGATGCTGTCTCTCCGTCAGTAGGCAAAGCGTTGTTAGGAATACTGTCTGCAGGATCAGGCTTGGGATGATGTGGGTGAACATGGCGACCTGGAACTCACAAAGTGTTGGCTGGGAGTACAAAGTCACACATTAATGGTTGCAGATTCAGGAGACAAGAAGTCTGCTGGCGGAGATGGGCGGGGTGTTGGTGCAAAGTAGGGTCGGACGCAACGACCAGGGACCCACAAGACCCTTTCAGGTAGTTGGAC